ACGGTTCCAGAAAAAAAAAAAAGAAAAAGAGTCGTCGCCGTTTTTCCACGCTTCTTCCGAGGGATTCTTTCGAAATTGGTATTGGTGGCGAGAAACGGAGAGGCAGCGTCACGATAACCAATGAGAATAAACGAATTCTCACGCGTTTCTTTTTCTCGTCGCGCCGCGATCGAAAGTGGTGGTACGCGGAGTCTCGAAACCTTTTCACTTCGAGACACTTTTCGATGGATCGAGGATCGTCGAGCGAATCGTCGAGCGTAAACGCGTTTCATCGAAGCAATGGGAAAAATCATCTCGAATGCACCGCGTCATATATATATATATATATGCACACATATACGTTGCGTTGGGTATATGCGTTTAATAAATTTATCCGTGAGATAGCGACGTTGCCGAGAATCGCGTGAATCGCGGGCGCTATCTCGCGCTAATCCTAGCCGCGCCGCGTTTCATCGCTTCTCGTCCACGCGAGAACGGTGCCGAGCGTCGAAAAATTACTCTAACTAAAAATCCTCTTCCCTCTTCCCTTTGTCCTCTTGTTTCTTGCCATGTCTTGCTTTTTCCGTTTCTCCTTTCTTTTCCTTTCTTATCTTCCCTCTTATATATCTCATTCGCGTCTTTTCGTTCACAGAATTTCTCTCTCTTCTTCCTTGCTGTTGATTGATTGATCGTTATCAAGAAAAGGATGCCGTCTTCTATTCCTCTTTCGTCGAACGTGTCCTCCTTCACGTATACAGGATGTGAATCTTATTCCTCCATTTATTCTTGTTGAATTTTCTCATCCAATGGCGTGCTTGTATCAAACGGGATACGATGAATCGGTATTTCAAGTTCGATCGTGGAAATTCGTGTGAACGAAAGGACGGAAAGTTAATGCGATTAATCATCTCCCCNNNNCTCTCTCTCTCTCTCTCTCTCTCTCTCTCTCTCTCTCTCACTTTTTCACACCTTGCACACATTCACACGTGTCGATTTTTCACCCTCTTTCTCATTTTCTTACTATCACTCCCCCTCATTCTTTCCTCTCATCTCCCTTGGTTTTTTGCTCTCTGTTCTCTCACGCGGATATCTCGTATCTCGTGCGGATCCTAGATCGTCACCTAATCTATGGCGACACGTATATACAAAAAGAGTACCAAAAAAATAAATATATATGTAAATATATATATGTATATATATAGATGTGGAAATTATTTTTTTTGTTTATTCATTCCTCGTTACTAAGCGTACGCAAGGTACGTCGTCGATTAATCCACGATCATCTTTTTTTTACCGATTCATTTTCGGATGACTAAATTTATGATGTCGTAGGTATGCGTGTATATATTATGTATGTGTGTGTGTATGTATGTATGTATGTATGTGTATATATATATATATGTTTATGTGTATACGTGTATATCGCGTGTATTTTATTTTGCATAACACGCGAAAGCGTGTCGTTAAAGATACTCGTCGTGCGAGGTTAATCTACGAGCTTATGGTTTCAACTTACGGTGCTGCTACGTATAAAACGTCCATCTATTAAGCGGAACACATAACGTTGCATACTGATTATTCACCCGTGCCGTTTCCACCGTTACATCGTCACTTTGCCCGGGATCGATCGAAATAAGACAATTTCTCTTCTTTTTTTTTTTTTCCGCTTCCTTCTTCTTTCTTCTTCTTCTTCTTCTCTCTCTCTCTCTCTCTCTTCCTTTCTCTTCTTCTCTCTTCTTCTCTCTTCGATACGTTGCAACACTTTGTTTATAAGGGGATAAAGTAAAGAGGCGATTAAAGTAAGATAGGTGTTCCGATAGATGGAAAGATAAGAGGACGATAACACAATTCAACAAGAGACGATTCACGTGTTGGAAACGACACATCGAGAATATATTTTTTTCCACCGAGAAAAACCCTCTGTTCCTCCTTCGAAGAATAGAACCTATTAATAAACGTGTCTCCGTCGAGATGAGATTTCATTTGAACTACGTCGATTGCATTCATTTGAGTTATTTGATTATATACATCGAGCGAAGAAATTCGTTAGGATTAAGAAAAAACGTGCATCGCGACAGCCGTTTAACGCGGATCGTATCGGTACAAGAAGGATCGGTGTCTACACAGGAGGAACCCATGCAGTATTATTATTATTATTATTAATATTATTATTATTATTATTATTATTATTATTATTATTAATATTATTATTATTATTATTATTAATATTATTATTATTATTATTATTAATATTATTATTATTAATATTATTATTATTATTATTATTTTTCTTTTCTTTCTTTATTCTATTGATTTCTCACGCGAAAAGAATGTTTTAATCCTTGCACGCGTTTCCCTCGAATCTCTTATATCGGACGTATGAAGAGTAATTTGCTAGGAGCTCGGTCGCCAAGTCTCTTCTCTGTCAAGAAAATGTCCGCTCTAGAGGAGAGCGTTTTTTTTTTTTTTTTCCCCCGTTTCTCGGTTCGCGAGGTTGACTCGTTTCAAGTAGTTTTAGTGTGTTTTAGATCCACTGGAGAGACGTTATTTCACCGCTCGTTATTCGAAAAAAGAAACGCGGAGGCCCAGGTACGTAGAATCATTTTACGTTTCAACCAGGTTTTTTTTTCTTTCTTTCTTTCTTTCTTTCTTAATGATCGTTTTTCCAGATTCACGGCCGAAATTAGTCCCCTTTGACTCGTTTTTTTTTCTTTTTCGTAAGATCGAACCATTCTTTTCTCTCTCTTTCTCTTTTTTCTTCGCTCTCACTTCGGTGCTTCTTCCTTGACTTCCAAGTTTCGACGCGACCGTTCATTTCATTTTGTACTCTCTCTTTTTTTTTTTCTTTTCTTTTGAAAACGAGTAGCAGTCTGGTACGAGGTACGACCCTGCGCGAGGTTCATTCCCTCGTTTTTCTCCCTTCTTCCTTCTTCCCCTTTTCTTTCTTTCTCTCTTCCTTTCTTTTTTTTTCTTTTTCTTTTTTATTTTTTTTTCGTTTATCTTATCTTTCTTTTGGAAAGGTCGCTCGGTAAAGATTTCAAGTATTGGCTGAGGATCTGGTACGGTTAAACGTGTACTCAACGCGTAACGGCGCGTCAAGCGAATTAGACTAATCGTCATTTCAACGTCCGTTCGAATCCCGTTTCTCTCTCTACTTCGCCTCTCTAAGCCCCCTGTTCATTCTTCCTCTTCCTTCTTATTCTCTCTCGATCAATCTCTCTCGCTTCCCCCTTACACGCATGCGCATGGACACAAACGCTCACACATTCACGCGTCTCTACTCTACACTCCCTCTTAAATTTTTTTCTGTCCTCTATCTATCCATTCCCGTTCGCCACCTCCGTCTTCTACTACCACCTTTCCATCCACTCTTCCATTTTATCTCATGATACTTTTTTTGTTCACTATTATGCCCCGCACTCGAACAAGTTAATCGGTAAAAAATCGTTCGTTTCGCTCAAATATGTTGCCTACGAGCGCGAGTCGCGATAAACGCGTGTATATATATATATATGTGTGTGTGTGTGTGTCTGTATGTGTGTGTACGTGTGTGTGTTATATATATATGTATGTATGTATGTATGTATATATAACGCACCTATCCGACATATCCAATAATTTCTTAAAAGCTAAAGATTGTGTGATACAGATAATCGTCTAATATACAGCGGTTCGAAGCGTGGATGTTTTCCATTATCTAAAATTTCACCTTCCAACTCTTTCGTTATAATTATTAATACCACTTTTACGCGTTTATCCACCGGCCACCATTTTTCTTTTCCCCAATATCTTTTTCCCATTTTCCTGCCCTTCCCATCTTTTCCTTCTCTTCTCTTCTCTCTTCATTCGTTCGCGCATACTCCAATTCGTACACGAATTTTCCATCTTTCTCCACCAGTCATTCGATCATTCTCTCTCTCTCTCTCTCTCTCTCTCTCTCCATTCTCTCTTTCACGCTCCACCAATCTTAAACCTTGCAGTTTCGCGTGATCGAATCAGGTACTCGCTATCACCTCTTATCCCATTTCGAATCACACACGTACATTTTAATCGTACACGGCCCCGATTTCCGGAAACGATCCGGCCGCATCCTTTCATCGAGGAGAGGGCAAGCTGCTCGCCGCTTGGCGTTGCCACACGGCGTCTCACTCAATTCCCGCTTCGATATCCCTCCTTCGGCTCG